GAGCGCCCCCTGCTGGCCCCACTAACACCTCTTCCAGCAGCAACCTTAGTTTTCCCCAGGAGGTCTCCCATCCAGGTACTGACCAGGCTCACACCTGCTTAGTTTCAGTGGGTTGCCAGTTGTGAGTTGCAAGGTGATATGGCTGCTAAAAGATGCATGTCTGTAAATGTCCAATTAATATTGCTGTGAAACACTGTAATTTCATTTCTTAATGAAATGGACTACATCATGAAAAAAATACCAGTCAAATTAAAATAATGACTTACACCTACATGGGTTTCCCCACTGATAGCTGATGTGTGGTGAGCGTTCTGGTACACTTTGGCTGTCGTCGCATCATCCAGGTTGATGCTACACATTAGTGGTGGTGGAGGGGAGTCCCCGTTACCTGTAAAGTGCTTTGAGTGGAGTGTCCAGAAAAGCGCTATCTAAGAGAAAAGGAGTCCTTCTTAATTAACATTATAAAATGCTAACTCCCATGGATTGTGGCTGTTCACGGTCTCTGTTTTCAGCTCTGTGTTCTCAGTACAAGCTGGTGTGCTATGTGAGCAGCTGGGCGCAGGACCGTCCTGGCGATACGCGGTTCACTCCGGACAGAGCCGACCCATTCCTGTGCACGCACATCATCTTCGCCTTCGCCGATGTTGACGAAAACTATAGCATGACAGCGCTGGGGCCTGGCAACGAGCCCCAGTACCGCTCCTTAAACGCACTCAAGGAACGGTCAGTGAAGTGCAAGATACTGTACCTTTCGACAGCTTCTTTATATTGTATGAATATAGATCCAAAGTCCCAGGTGCATTTCTGGTTAATGGTGGGGAATCATTGTACATGTCTTGCTTCTGCTATCGGATGCTGTCGAAATCCTACATTTATGAGCTCTTCCGGGGTACAGCCACTCTTCTTCAGGTCAGATCGTAGAACATTGTGTAGGGCTGAGGAATCTGTGCATCCTTGTCTGAGCCGAAGGAGGTGGCTCAGGATATGACAAAAGGTACTGTATGTCTCCTGGATTTATCTGACTTTTGGGCCCAGTAACTGTAGCTCCTTCTTCGCTTTGCTTTGACACAAAACAGTGTGTAAAGTTTGTGGCAATCACATTGAATGCAGTGACACAACACGAACACACATGCAAGCAAACAAGCAAAAGTCTTGCTCACCTGATTCTGGATTCCTGTGTCAAGTTCGGTGGAAAACAGGAAGTATAGATTCTGGGACATTTAATTCCCCTAGGCTACGATCCTGTCCCTTGAAAAATGCTTTTTGATGCTTTGGTGCTGCACCTCCTCCCCTTCCATTTTTTCTTTCTCTCTGGAACACACTGTGTATCCACTGATGTTGTGTTTGTCACCGTTGTTATCTATTAGTCATGTTTCAGTAATTCCACTTACTGCCTGCTAATGTGGTAGCTCCTATCCTGTGCATTGTGTTTCTAATTTTCCTGGCAATTAAGTACTTAAGTAAGTAGACAAGTAAGTAATTAAATACAGAATTGCCTGGTCCTTTTTTTATTTTCCTTGGGTACTCTTTTTGATTCTATTCTCTGTGTATCTGTCTTTTTGATTATCTCTGGTTTCTTCTCATTTCATTGTACTTTAAATGTTTGTGTACTGTGTGTTTCTGTGGATTCTTGTGCCCAGCCTCACTGAGATTAAATATATCAAGTCTGTACATTGAAGACCCGGGACTTGCTAATGCAGTCACGTTGACATACTGTACCTCATCACAAGTGAAGTTTTGTAGTGACTAGACACTTCTGTCCAGATTATCACACTTGGATCTCTGCAGTGATTGGTTTATTTTGCACAATAGTGCATCGTTCTATATGCATTCACCATACTCTCTGACATGAATCAAGTGATCTACACAGAAGCTTGATTCACTCCTAAAGAGGACGTGGCTCCCGTGTTGGTGTGTCCAACTGGGGCCTTGCTACATAGTATTGATGAAGCAAAGACATTGTTCAACAGTGCCATATATATTACCTTCTGTGTTATTTGTTCTTCATTTTCAGCAGGGTTGGCATTCAGCAGGTTAAATGACCTTAAATCCTGTTCCCAATCAACGTTCTCACTTGTGAGGTGATTTAGTGCTTAGTCAACAAGTCATGACCAGTCATGAATGATCAATTAATCAAAAGAAATGAGAAGCTCATGAAGATTATGAAAAGTGAAAGGACTCTGAAAGGAAGAAGAGAAAGATTCTTGCTCTTTAATGATACATTCTTATGTCCCTTTGTCACAGGAACCCAGCTCTAAAAACGCTGCTAGCTGTGGGAGGCTGGGACTCAAACAACAACTGGTAATCCTCCAACGAAGCTCCATTCTTTTGTGTTTACCATGACTGCACAATCACAATAGCTAAAGGAAGTACTAATTACTGGAAATGTATTTTTAAAACGGAGTGTTTCAGTCTCCTAGCACAGACTGAGGGCTTTCCAGTTCAGTGCTAGAGCTCTTCTCATAATGGAGTTTATCTTCCATTCTTTTTTATTCCTCGCAGCTCCCTCTTCCTTGTTTGTTATAGTACAGTAAATTAGGTGGTGGCTGCTGACCTTTCACTCATTTTATCCATGAGCTATAAACTATCAGAACTCCCAAGATCCCCTTTTTCGCAGGTTTACAAAGATGACTGGGAAACACTCTCGCCGAGCTGCATTTGTGGATTCTGTCCCAGGGTTCCTGAGATCCAATGGGTTTGATGGCCTGGATGTGGTGTGGCAGAATCCAGGTGTTTTTAGAGGAAAACACAGTGGTAAAAAACACTTCACATATTTGTTAAAGGCAAGAATTGTCACATTTTCTCAGCTTTATCTTCCTGTACAGTGTTAGTTCTGAAAGCCTTTTGCCTTCATGCTGCAGTTGGTTTTTTGAGCTTTGTTTTTTGTGTTTCAATTTGACTCGAATTATAGGGGTTTAATTATTATTAAAGGGCAGCATGGTGGCACAGTGGTTAGCATTGCTACCTCACAGTGCTGGGGCCCTGGGTTCAATTGCTGGGCGCTATCTGTGTGGAGTTTGTATGTTCATGTGGGTTTGCTCCAGGTGCTCCACTTTCCTCCCGCAGTCCATGGACGTACTGGTAGGGTAATTGGCATCTGTAAAAATTGGCCCTGGTTTGCATGTGTATGTGCACTGCTCTGGACTGGCATCCCATCCAACTCCATCTTCTCCATGGCCATGAACTGGCCATGAAAGTGATTAGACAATGAATGGCCAGAATCATTGATAATCATTAATAATGGACATTTTGAAATTACTTTAAAAGCAGTTCCAGAGGCTTTTTGATGAGAATACTCTAAGAATATTGCACTTCCAATTAAAGAGCATGGTAAAATGCTCATCTGTGTATATGGCACTGGACAATTCCATGGGCTGCAGTGCTGAGCTGCTCTGTCATACTGTACAGGAGTTGAGAGCTGCTTTTGAAGAAGAGGCACTGGTTTCTGGGGAAGACAAGCTGCTTCTCTCTGCTGCTGTCTCTGGCCTTGAGGAGTACGCCAGAGCTGCATACAACTCGCACACCTTTCCACAGTAAGAGGAAAACATCAAGAGAGGTTTTTTCCTTTAAACCGGGGTCAATTCTATCATCACTGAATCTACAACTACAGGAGAACGTATCCAGATAATGGTTAAATTGAAATGGTTGTAGCCATTTACTTTTCCGAATACAGACAGAGCAACAAATTATTTGGGCTTTGAATTTAAAAGTACTTTACATACATCACTTAATGCATTTTCAAATACTAATCTGTGTGACCCAGGTCTGAAGGAGTTCTTTTAGCCTGTCCCTTCTCAAAGACATTGTGCTTTGGGAGTTTGCCTTCATCTGATGCTTTCGTCTTTGCAGGTATGTTGACTTCATTAGCCTAATGACATATGACTTCCATGGGCCATGGCAAGGGATGACCGGCCATATCAGTCCCCTCTACAGCCGCCCTCATGACTCTGAGGACCAGTATCTCAGCATTGTATGGCCTGATTGCTTATTATGTCCACCATTCAAACAGCTGCAGACTGTTCAGTTAAAAGCTCCTCCTAGGCAGTATGCTGGCGTGTTGTTTTTCCTGGCAAACTACTGGCATTGCGATATTTTACTGAAACATCTGGATTAGCTTAATGGTTTTTATGAAAATATAGCAGGCCCATGTATGCTGTGGACCTGTAGTGTCACTGTATTTTTCAGCTCACGAAGTGTGCATCTGTTCTTGAGTGTCCTCCTTCACCATTACAGTTTGACTGTTTTCTCAGGACCATGCGGTCAAATACTGGCTGTCCCAAGGAGTGGAAGCAAGGAAGCTGATCCTGGGTTTTCCTGCTTACTCCCGTACGTTCCGCCTCACAGACAGAGGAAGGCGAGGTGTGGGTGTCCCCGCAGAGGAGGGTCAGGCTGGGAAATATACCAAAACGCCTGGATTCATGGCTGCCTATGAGGTAATAGCAATACCAACCCCCACCGTCCTACTGACTTCAAGATTTCTGAAGTCATGCAAAGACGTTTCCCATTGATTACTTTATCTGCAGGAAAAGGCTTAATTGACTTAGCATTAACATTAGGTATCCTAGCTTCTGTAACATTCAGCAAATAATGTTATTAAGTACAAACCCTTTATATGGTGGCACAGAGGTTAGCAAGTACTGCCTTGCTGTGCTGGGGCCCTGGGTTCATTTCTGGACATGGGGTGCTATCTTTGAGGAGTTTGTATGTTCTCCCTGTGCTTGAATGAGTTTCCTCTGGGTGCTCTGGTTTCCTCCCACAGTTAAAAAAATTGTGAAATGTAAACTGGCCCTGGCATGAATGTTTATGTGTTGTGTCTGTGTCTCTGCCATGTGATGGACTCTTGTACTATCAGGAGTGTATCGTGCCTTGCGCCTGTTGCTTGCTGGGACAGGCTCCAGCTCCTCTGTGACCCTGTACTGGTCTTTATTTGAAGGAGCATGGGGAGGTTCTGATTTTGTTTTTAAGTTCCTAAATTATTCATTTACGCATAAGAGAAGCTGCAACAAATCACCCAGTGAATTGATCAAAAGTAAACGTTCACGTTATTAGTAATGGGTCGAGGTTCTCCAGGATCAACGCTGGAGACCCCATTTGTGAGAACTTAGCTGAAAACCAATGCAAGTCTCAGCTATAATGCTGAAAATAAAGCATTTGCTTAATCTTAAGGGTAGCAGCTCTATTCACATGTATGTCCTTCCACAGATTTCAGCATGCTCTTTTTCCTATGCTTCAGGTGTGCCAGTTCATCATGCGTGGTGCCCTTGTGAAATGGGACAGAAAGCAGAAGGTTCCCTATGCACTAAAAGGCAACCAGTGGGTTGCGTTTGATAACGGACACAGCCTGAGGAAGAAGGTACGTGTGTGATAGTTATAAAAACACCTCAGTTTTGGATTCTTTTGCTACATAGAGCACTGAAAATAGATATTGGCTACAAAACGTAACCCTTAGATTCTAACCTGAGGCTGTGTCCTGTCCCTTTCAAGGCCTATTTCAAATCAAATACAAACTTGTAGGAATTCCCATTCAAATGAAATAATTATTAAATCGTCAATTACTTGGAGCAAATCAGGAATTTGTTCTGAAGGTTCCCCATAGTTAGGAAGATTAACTTAAATCCACCCATAACCACCCTCGAGTCCAACACAATATACTCAAATGTTCACCAGACAATTCTATTTTTTTCCTTAGATCTGCTCAAGAGCTGGTGGTGGATTACAGCTGCATAATCCCCCCTTAATTCTATAATTAATCTGCGGCTTTTAAATATGATTTAATGCAGCTTGCACAGACCTCATTTACTACTAACTTAGACTGCCATGAATAAAGGAAAATTATTCATGCACTTCTCAGCTTTGTATTGTACAGTGCATTGTTCCATAAGACTGTGTACATACTGTACTATGTGAATTTGCATGTGCTGTATAAGTAGAGCTCTGCTACTTTAAAATAAGCAGTGCACTTATAATGGAATTTTACCGTTTTTTCAATATACTCTCATACCGGTAGGATTGAATCACTAAATCATCCTTCTTCATGACCGTCTAATTCAGGCTTGCTGGGGTACAAAGCCTGTGTACCAGAAACAAATGCCTGCTCCATTTTGTGCCTGATATAGGCTGTCGATTTGAAAATGGCGGGACTCTGACCTTCAGGATTTCCTTGGTTTCTGCAGACAAAGTGGCTGAGACACCTGGGGCTCGGGGGTGCCATGGTGTGGTCTCTGGACCTAGATGACTTCACTGGCTCTTTTTGTGACTACGGCACCTTCCCTTTCATCAGGCTGCTGAAGAAATCCCTGCTGTCCAGGCATCTGCACACCCCTTGTCCTGAGCAGGAGCAGGTCAAATGAACCTGCTCCTTAGTGCCTTCTCCTGACTCAGTTCTCAACCCCCACTAACACTGGGCAATATTCTTGATTTCTCTTTCTTCCTGAATCTCCACTCCTCTCATCTTTCAGTTCATCTCGTATCTCTTCTCCATCCATTTTCTAACCACTTTTTTCCACACCCAGAGATTCCATGTGTGAAATTAAAAAACACTGACAAATGAATAAATAATTTAAATTATGCATAGATGGTTTTGTTTAAAACGGAAGTAACAACTGTTTCTTTTAAAGTACTAACTTAAGTAATCTTTTTTTGTGCATGTTCATCAGCAAAAGGTTCGGTTGAGCTATTCATACATAGCAAAATCAATTACCCATTAATAGAGTTTGTTTAGGAGCCAGATAAGCAACAAATTAGTTTAAAGATAAGTACTGCAGAGAACACAAGGAAGCATAAATAGTGACTGCAAGACTGTATTTCACATTCAATGAGTTTCATAAAATTCTGTTGTACAAATTAATCAAGAATGACATTATTTAAACCATTAAGATTCATGCTGTTCTGTTATGAACATATTGATTACATTTACAGATGTTATCAACATAAATGTTAGTGACAAAATATTTTGAACACACTCATTCCCGTTCATCTTGTAATATTGGAATCATAACTAATTTCCATCTAGGGCCCAACAGCTTTGTGTGCTTGGAGGTTACAGGTTGTCAGTTGTTTTAGGTGCAGGCACAACAATGCCTAATAATTTAGAGAAGAAAAGAAATTTGATCAAGAAAAATGCAAACATTAAAACCCATGTTCAATAGAGCTTGGCAACAGAGACCAAATCTGCCGTGTGTTTTTCATTCATCTTGATTTAGTAGAAGCTAAGCCAAAGCAAAATGCACTTTAGGGAAGTACAGCAATTGAATTCTCAGTATTTAAAAAAAAATCAATAAAAGAAATTGTGATAGAATGCATAGAGCTTACTGACTGAAGTCCCTTCTTTGTTGTCTGCTTTGGTAAAATGCTAAATAGGAATTTCTCAATCCTATAGAAGCCCATTCTAAACCCAAGCTTGATAAAAGCTACTCATTGCTCTTTCAGCTCATTTTTTTCCTGCTTGACCTTTTCTTTATGGAGTGAAATGATGACATCCACGTGCAATCCAAAGCATGGAGCGACAAGGAGAGTCCTCTAAGAGGGAACTTGTGTATTCTCTGAAGTCAAGGAACACAAGTGCCTGGTTCTACCAAAAAAAGAGATTCGTTCTCAAAGGATGCTTTACTTCAAGGACTTCACTTTGGAAAAAGATACTTCTGATCCATAAAGGTAAATCCTCATGGGAGCAGTAAGTGAAAATTCATATCCTGGTGGAGTCCTCGGTGTTGAGAGACATCTGTTCTGGATTGGCAGCAGCACAGCTCAGCTTGTTTTTGATCTTCTTGTTGGAGGTGATCATAAGGAAGGGGCTGAGGGAGGCATAACAGGAGGAGAAGAAGACTCGCATGTCCGCGATGACAGGGGGCACCTGTGCCACCGTCAGCATGTATATCCAGATGATGTTGTCGATGCCAAAGAAAACCACGTAGAGGGTGACCAGCGTGACCACGGTCTTGGCCGCTCTGGTTTCGGCCGCGTTCCGGGAGGAGTGCTGGTCGGGGCTGCGGATCTGCCTCACTTGCTTGCCGTGACGGTGCAGGAGGAGGAGGATGTAGCCGCTGGAGCACACCATGAGCCCCACGAAGATGAAGTCACGCCCCGAGACGGCCACCCCGTTGATGATGTAGGAGAGGCTGTCGCGAAAGTCCACATGGCAGAACCCCAGGTTGAGGGTGAATTCGGGGACGGTGCCGTTGCGGGGGGCGATGGAGAAGAAGGGGGCCGCGATGCACACCGCCATGTTGATCAGCCACAGGGCGGCGAAGGAGGGGAAGAGGAGCTGGGACACCCTGACCTTGAGGCCCACCCAGCGGGAAGAGGCTGGGGCGATAATGATGGATTGGAAGACGCTGAGCATGCTGGTGATACAGACAGACAGGGCACGGGCAATCCTGTAGGCATAGATGACAGCTTTGCAGCCGCTGTCGTTTAGAAGGTCCTTTAGCCCAAACACAGTCATGGTCTGGGGGACGCAGCGGGTGAGGAGGAGCAGGAGGTTGGCAAAGGCGAGATGGCACAGGATCTTGTCCACGGGCTGGACCCTGCCGTCACTACAGGCAATGTGTGCATATGCCAGCAGAACCAAGAGGTTGCCCAGGATTCCCAAGCCTGTTTGCAGTAGAAATGAAACCCCTTTAATTGTGATGCACAGGTCCATCCTGCAGAGTCCGGGCAGCCCAAGAAGTCACTGTGAGCCATGAAAAGGGAAAGCAAAGGAGGTTAATTTGCTCAAAAAGAAGCTTCTTACACTTACAGACACTGCCGAAAGGAGTTTTCTTCTTTAGTTAATGTAATGTATTTATCATTGTTATGATATTGACTTGAAAGTGCACCGATAAGAACCATAATATTTGTGCTGTTCTTTCAGTGCATATACATGAAAAAAAAAAGAATTTGGATTGGAAAAAGCGGACCAAGAACTGACCTTTTCTGGTAGGCTTTTGTGAAGTTTCTTTCTACCGTTGAATGTGCAGGTGTCTGCAGAACTTGAAGATAAAATAGTATAAAAACAAAACGCTGAAACAAGCTGTAAGTATTCTCACTTTCAGCTCTCTCTGAAAAGTGAATTTGTGGTTCAGCTGAATCAGGAAGTCTGCAATTAGGTGCCCCCGTAAACCAAATTTATACCTTTGTCTGTGCCCCAGGAGAATGGCTGATGTAGAGTACTTACACCTGAATATGAAACAGCAGCCAGAATAGTTTCAGGTCTATTAACATACACAGGATATATTTATATGTATACACATCTTAATGATTATATTGTTATGTACTCTGTTGTTTGGTCTTTGACATAATTAAATTACATGCTCATTTCAATATGTACTAAGCACATTTTTCAGGCTGACTGATGAAGACTGTAAAGATAAATCTATATGGGTTATGAATACTGTTGTATTATAGTTTTCTATAAGTTGGGGAAAAATGGAAGCTAAAAAGTCATTAACTGTCTTCAAAGCTATTTTGATAATACTGTTACAAAGCAGTGTGTAAGCAATATTTTCAGAATTAATTTACAATAAAAGTGCAGTCTGGAGAAGGCAGTTGTGAAGAGAGAACATTAACCTTTATTAACTGTCTGATCAAATCTCTAATTATCACTTCAGGGACTCCTTTAAGATCCACCAGTTTAGAAAAAAAAGAGTAAATTCTTCATTTCCAGCACTGGGGAGCAATTAAACTTGTTTATCAACATGATATTAAAGGCAGAGTTTCAGGCTGTATGTTTACACTTCTGCCCAGACATGAATGTGAACAGAATTAAATATGTTTATTTTTCATCTTCACGGGTACTGTATGCTAGTACGACGTGTAAGCGATACTATTTTCATTTTCTACTCTTCACCTCTACCCACACACCAGTCTTATTTTGCTTCAGCATAAAAAAATGTTCATTTTAGTTTGCTCATAATCGCCGATCTTCAAAATCATTTTTATAACATTCATCAGTACACTAACACTACTGAACTAAACATTGAAGTCGTTCCTGACTTCCTGACGCGTGAAAACAAAATACAATTTTTTTCAACAAACAAAAACATTTTCCCAAGCGTCCAGCAGGGAGAGACAAAAGCAAGATATAACAAAAAGGGCGTCTGATTTTTTTGTTCTTCAGAGCCACGCAGAGGTTTTTTTTGCGTTTAGCATTTATAGCAAGACATACTTCATTGGGTTATATCTATGAGTTCACGACGTCGGAAGGTAAAAAGAATAATTTAACAAATGGCCACCTTTGTGTGACCTTCTTAAACGGTCGGTCAGTCAATTCTTTTTGATGAAAGATATAATGCATATACTGGATAGGGGGTCCCGAACCGTGGTCCTGGAAATACCCAATCTATTCTTATAGCTTACCCTAAATCTAAAGATTATAACCACTTGTTTAAGTAATTGATCAATTAAGCAAGTAACGTTTCAATGGAGGGAACCCCATAGAGGACTGAATATTCTGTTATTTGATACCAAACATCTCTAAATTACCTAATTGCACACTCCTCCGATTCAAATGACCATAGGCTCCAAGGCCTTTAGAAAGTGATTATTTCAAGTTTATATTTAAACCCCGCTGGAGTAGAATAGAAGAGTAAAACGCACACATTTACAGTATATTTGATATGCCACTTAGCTTTCAAATGGTAGTTACAATTGTTTATTTTGAAATGTAAATAGATGGCACATACAATAACAGCAGTTATAAACGCAACGTGGTATTTTTCGAAACTATTCACCCTAGATTTTATTTTAAAAACTAAATGCGTTTTTGCAATTTTACCAATATACATTCTCTTCTGAGAATATTAGTCACGGTTACTTTCCCGTCCTAAAAGTGGACAGGGTTTGATGTTTTTCAAGAAACGTGCAGTTGTAAAACCTTTGGGACCATTCCGGTACAAACGACACCCATTCCTGACAGGACGCCATCAGACGCACCTTAACGGAGGTACAGTACTACGCAATCCTGAGTGGACCCTTGCAGAAACTGGTAAGACCTTTGTTTACTTCTTTCTAAGGTGATGGGGGGTTGCTTCACGAAGCGAGATTACTCAATTAACCGGATAATGTTTGTAAACGTTGTCAAAAGTCAGGAGCTCGGTTTTACACCGCAAGATTGAATTGTATCCGGTTAACTATAGCAACATAGCTAATATAAATTAGCAGCTTCCTCCGGGGCAAATTTAAATTTAAAATTTAACCTGATTGAGTTTAAGACCTCGAGTCACAGACAAATCAGTCCTGCAAGCAAGACAAAAAGATGTCACCATTCTCCGGGGGTCCAGTTCACATTGGAGCTTTGCGGAGAGAATGAAAGTTTACAGATCGCCCTTTACAGTTCGCTGAAAATGTTTTATTTGAACGACGTTATAGCATACAAAGTATACATTCACGATTTCTTACGCCTCCCTGTGATAAATACTGCTCGTCATAGCTAAACGGTAAAAGGTAACTAAAACTCTGTTCATGGGACTGAGATTACCTGTGACTGGTGTAGTTTTTTACTGTGCAGGCAACTCGGAGCGTTTCAGTAGAGCAACAGTGTGTTGTGTGTTAAGGAAAGGAGAGTTTGCAATTCATGTCTTTGTGAACATTCACAGCGTTTCCGGGCCATACATTAGTGAAAACAATTAGACAGGAATTTCTTTAAATAATATTCTCATCTTTAATTTTATCCACTGGCATCTGTTCCCTGTAGCTTTCTATCATAATCTAAATTTTTCTTACAGCATTACCTAATGGGATCTCTAGACCGCACAGACATCCTCATTAAAGCACCCACAGAGTCAAACGAGGCTGATTTTTTTTAACAGAATATCAATTCACAGCATCAATGTACTGTACCGTTAAAAATAAAACTCTTCACTAATACTGTAGCTACTGTATAGACATCTTACCCTGGTTTATGACTGACATTCTGCAAGTTTCTGCTCAACTATCCTATTTGATTCAAACAACAAAAGTTCAAGTTCACATTTATTTATTTATTTCATTCCATCCATATACAAGTATACAGTGGAATGAAATATCGTTCCTCCTGGTCCACGGTGCAAATACAGACAGGACACTGACATAGATATTGTAGACAGGATAAACATGGTGCAAAGTGCAAATAGTGCAAATTACAAGGCAATACATACAGTAGTACAATATACACAACACACTGGTTTGTGATTTAAACCCTGTTTCTGGAATTGGGGCGGGTGCAAGTAGATTCCAGGGTGTTGAGGAGCCTGACATCCTGTGGGAAGAAGCTGTTACAGAGTCTGGTGGGGCTAGCCTGTACACTGTGATATCTTTTCCCGGATAGTAGGAGGGCGAAGAGTTTATGGGAGGGGTGGGAGGGGTCATCTACTATACTGGAGGCCCTGTGAAAGCAGCGTTTGTGATAGGTGACAGAAATGGAAGGGAGGGAGGCTCCAATGACGTGTTCAGCTGTTTCCACAATTCATTGAAGGACCTTGCGGTGTGAAACGTTGCAATTCCCAAACCCAACAGTGATACAGCTGGTCAAGGTGCTCTCAATGGCGCTTCTGTAGAAAGTGGTAAGAATGGGCGGGGGCAGGTTTGCCCTCCTCAGTCGCTGCAGGAAATAGAGACGCTGCTGTGCTTTCTTGGCTAGGGAGGTGGTATTGAGGGACCGAGTGAGGTCATCTGTAATGTGTACACCAAGAAACGTGGTGCTGCGGTGTCCACAGGGGAGCCGTTGATGTACAGTGCTGAGTGATCAGTGTGGGCCCTTCTGAAGTCAATGATTATCTCTTTTGTTTAATTGACATTAAGAGATTGATTGTTGTTTGTGCACCAGCCCACTAGTTGCTCCACCTCCTCTGTGTATGGTGAGGAAATGTTGTGGAAAAAGACAATATCCCTATAAAGGAATATTTTTTAGTGTGTTGATGATGATTCCTCCTCCTCCCCCTCCTCCAGTCCTACTCTGTTCACGCTTCTTGTTGGTTAATAATTAAGAACACTTTCATTCAGAGGACTGCACATTGGTCAGGTATTGGTATTGTACAGGATCCCTTTGGATGATATTGGACAGGGGTTACAGCGCTGCACCATCACTAACACACACACGAAGGGAAGAGGCTGTCTCCCAGCCTCCGCCCCACTATATACGGTCCTGTAGTCCCGCCCCCAGGCGTTGTTCTCAACTTCTCACTATTACATCAGATTTTATCCTTGTAGTTTTCATGAAAAAGCAATGGTCACTGGATTAAGACGCACATTCTGCTGGTGTGGGTAAAGGACGTGATGCTCACCCCCTCCTGCCTGCTGATGTAAGGAGTGACTGCAGCTTAAATCTGAGTTGTTTTAACCGGGTAATTTAAACCCAAGTTTGCCTTCGTGAAACGGAGTTGACCTGAAGTCAGTTACCGGGTTAAGTATATCTGGATAACTTGAGAAACTCTCGAATTACTTAAACCTGCTTTGCGAAACAGTCCCCTGATGTTGTAAGATCATAAATATTTCCAAGTGAATGCTAAAAGTGTTGAAGGCTTTTCTCTCGTTGGCTCATCATTGCACGTGGCAGTTACCCAGATCGTGCGCCCCAAGTGGCTTGAGTGGACTTGCAGTTTACGTGCAGCTGTTGGGCCGTGGAGTTTTTAAAAGTGAGTACCGCAAGGATTTTCACTGATGGGAGGAAATCCGTTTGGTTTGCTGGAGGTGGCTAGTATGCTGCAGTGTGCTACAGCAGTTCAGTTCTTGTATTTAGTTCAACATTCAGTTCTAGTAAAACTACCTTTACAACTAAAGCACTACTTACTTGAAGAAATTTAAGCGTAACTGGGGAAATCTAAACTTTGCATCCCAACTTGCTATTTAAGTGGGACTTGCTATTTAAGTGGTCTTAAGATATTTTCATCTTTCATTCACTCTGGCAGTTCAACAGGGCATATCCTAATTAGCCCTTGGATCTCCAGAGACTGTCCTGGGATATTTCTCCAGTGTGTTAGATGTCCAATTGAAATGTCTGTTTTGAATGATTGGTTTCAAATCAAAATCTGCATTATTTAGGTTTTAATTTTGTTTCAGTTGGGGGGTACACTCTGGGAGAGATGATTCTAAAAATTCCCTCACGGTTGAAGTAAACCGTTTTACAATTGTTTTACACAGGACACCTGGGTTGTTGATCATCCAAAACCCCAAACAGATGAGAACCAAACATAATTAAAGGCTTCTAATGTCTCTTGGTTTTAATTGGGAGCAGTGGGAGAGATGTTTTAATTGTGTATTTTCTTGGGTTATAATGGTGTGTCGAGGGACACACACCATACGGTGAGTTTTACTGCCGGTCTTGTACATCTGCCACCTCTGGAGTTTTCTTTTGCCTCCTGGCCCGTTTGAGAACTGATGAGAGATCCATGTCATACTAAGACACTTGAATCTGAGCTCACCATAAAAAAAGAGTTCTATGCAGAAAGTTTAACTGTTTAGATCAGTGATAGAGAAAGGGTTTAAATTCAGTTAAAAAAACGGCCTTCCTGTTCACTGATGGAACATTAAAGAAGAACTTTAGTTTTATTAAAGGTTTCTTAAGGATTTTTCACTTCCCTCCTCTTCTTAAAATAAGAGAAGGTTATTAACCAAACAGCCTTAGTCTTTGATACAAACAGCATGAGATTTTGATGCCAAGATACTAAGATATATTAATTTGGTTAAATATTTTCTTCATTTTTCACCACATACTCATATGTAAGGTTAAACAACAGTAACGGCACAAATCCTCTTGATTCTTTGTTTTTTTTATATTGAGAGAGAATTTGAAAGCTTGCCTTTTGCCTTGCATAGTCCGTTCTGTCTGTCAAAAGTGCTTTTTGTGTGTACAAAAAGTGTTTAGTGTACGTAAGGAATTAATCTGCCTTTTCTGTAACCATTCTAGGGAATTGGTTTCAATTAAGATTTGTTTTATGGCTCTCCTGATTTTAATGACTATAATTTCAATGGATATTCTTTAGGGTATATGATAATCTAGCTTGGAGTCCTTTTCCCCCATGTGCAACCATGTATAAAAAGATGCCTCATTTGACACCTGTAGGATCAGCTACAGTGAACACTGAGGTATGTAAGATCCTCTTCTTTCTGCCTGGCATATTCTGTTTATGAGAACTTGGTTCATCAGAACCTTATTTGAAAATGTATGAGCTAACTGACGTTATGGAGTGCATATGAGTGGGGGAACAATATACAGAATTCCAGACCAAAGGGACTCTTAGGCATTTTGAAACGGCTTTTTACCGACAAAATGCAACTTTTCAAGGTTTGTCAATGAGTGATACAGAGTGTTGAAACATTACTTTAAACCTTTCAGAATAACCTAAACAATTGTGAGCGTCCCTGCATGTTCTGTTAAAACTTACTGTGACTTCATACTTTTGAAAATCTGAAGCGATACGCTTTAAGATAAGAAGGGCTTATTAGTTTTCAACACTCGTTCACCAGGAGAGAGAGAGGAGAACTTTCTCCTGCAGAGCAAGCCATGGATCTGCAGAACCTGGCGAAGGCAGTCGCCACACTCCTCCAGAACATGGTGGGGATCCCCGCCAACCTCACCGTACTGGGAGTGTTTGTCCATGTGGCCCGAACTGAGCGGCGACTTCTCCCCACGGACGCCATCGTTTCCCACTTGGTTTCTGTCAATCTGTTGTTGATCTTGACCCGGGGGATCCCACAGAGCCTGTCTGCACTCGACTACAGGGGCTTCTACGACTCGGCCACCTGCAAGTTCCTTATCTTCACGTACCGCACGACCCGCGCCATGTCCATCTCGCTCACCTTTGTCCTCAGCGCCTACCAGTGCATCACCATCGCCCCTGCCTCCTCCCGCCTCTCCCGCCTCAAGCCCTGGCTCTACCGCTGCCTCCTGCCCCTCAACCTCTTCTTCTGGCTCCTGAACGGAGGCACCACCTACACCAGTATTCTCTACACCAGCCAGGTTAGGAACACCACGCTCAGCACCAACACTCTCAACCTTGGCTACTGCCTGGTGGTGTTCCCCAGCGAGGAGTCCTACTTTGCCAACGGCGTCATGTATCTGACCAGGGACCTGTTCTTCGTCATCCTCATGGTGCTTGCCAGCTTCTACATCCTGCTGCTTCTCTACCGGCACCAGCGGAGAGTGAAGGGGCTCCAGAGCTCCAACATGAGCCAGGGGTCACGGGCTGAAACCCGAGCTGCTAAAACCGTGGTCACCCTGGTCACCCTGTACGTCCTGTTTTTTGGCATTGACAACTTGATTTGGGCCTACACGCTCACCACGGAGAAGGTCCCGCTCCTCATGAATGACGTGCGAGTCTTCTTCTCCTCGCTGTATGCCTCGGTCTGCCCTGTAGTTGTGATTGTGTCCAACAGGAAGGTCAACAGAAGGCTTTCCTGCATCAAACTTGCTTGACGTTCTTTCTCTAAAGAAACTTTCATCTCCACTATTTAGATCAAAATGTACAGTATGTATTCTGTTTAATAAAGGTTTTTATCAGTTCTTGTTTTGTTGTGGTATAGTGGGAGGCTTTTTGGTCATTTTTATTTTTGTTGGGGGGAGGCTGGGTGACCAGTCTTGGAGACCGGGCCTGGAGTCCTGTGTGCTGTAGCTTTGTTTCATGAATGCTTTTCATAACAAGCTTACATAAAAATGTCTTCCAGGCACTTCCTGGAGGGCTGCAGTGGGATTCCTTTTCTGCTGCTGACTGTGCCTGACTTGTTGGTCTTAACATTGGGAATGATGGATTTCTGTTTTAAAAAGGTTTATGCCTTTCAGTCTAAACTGTTTTCAGGCTTCTTAAGGATGGTGAGGTGGTTAGATAGCACTGCTCCGTCACAGCTCTCAGCTCCTGGGTTTCATACTGGAGACGTATGTGTTTGTGGGCTTTGTGCGATATCTGTGGGTTTCCTTCCACTTTTATTCCAACTCCCAGAAACATGCTGGCGAGATTAAAAGGAGCAGTTAACTTGTCCCTTCATTTGTGCCATGCACTGTGAGAGACTGGTGCACTGTCCTTCTGGAATAGGATCCAGATTGCCCTAACCCTTATTGGTATATTTCCCCTAATCAGTGGATTAACATTTAAAGTACCTTCCCAAAGGTTGGTTAGATGTATTTGAGCATTTGTAAACTTCAATATTGCCCCCTGGGAATGAATAAAGTAGTTTTAATTGAGTTTAAATTTAAGTTTTCTTTTGGATACTGAAAGATTGGTGGTCTTGTTTTAGTCAGTATAAAAGTGACTGCAATGTTGCAGGTATAAATAAAAGGCTTGAAACTGATTTTCCCTAGAAATATTATTTGTGGCATATTGGTGCACAAAACAATTAATGCATTGAGCTTCAAGCGCACTTTCTAGAAGTGTTTCTGTTAAACTATGTACAGTACCACTTGTTTTTCATTTGTTTTAATTAAATAGCTGATTCATTGTTTTCTTGTAAGATGTAACTGTAGAACACTTAACATTTGCTAAGTATAGGCTGTTAATGACTATTGGTTTTAATTAGAGCTTGTGGAAACAACAGCACCTGAGTATTCTAATTTAAACCCCCTGGGATCTAACTCTCAGTGGGTTTTAGCCTGGTTAGGATTATGTGCACTTTAGTTGGAGAAACTCATTGAGTTGAGTAAACTTTGCTTTATGATTTAAATGCTTATTTAATGGTAGGGTCCACAGTGAGTGCAAGTGATTTTCTTTGTGTCAATACAGCATCTGTTCTGATAGTTTAACAGCATTGGATAGACCTTTAAAGACCATGAATGTACAGTTGTATAGAATGTGGTGACGTTAAGCAGTGGATTTTGTCTATTCCTGCCTATAACTGGTCCAATAACTTTAAATGACAAGATAATAAACCTAACACTTCTACCTTCACTACTCATAACAAAGCATTGATTTCTGATGGACTGTTTGATGCAAAATGGCTTCTATTCACAGTAGGCAGTTTACTGGTACAATCTGTAAAGTACCTTGTTCAAGGGCCAAGAGCAGCACCTCACCCAGATTTGAGCCCACAACCTTCCTTTTACAGTGCTATAAACCATTATCCCATATCCTTGTAATTATGGATTTTTATAGTTCTTTATGTGAAGGAGTACTACAATGAAATTCATAGTTTCATGATTTTCTGAAATCTGTCTGCTATATAATACACTGGATGTAGAATTTGAGTATTGTTATTTCAAGAAACTGCAGGGAACCAGTTGTCAAAATAATTATAATGGGTTTAAGAAACTTTTCATTAATGTAACACTTTGTTGTTAAGTCAATCCAAAACTTATTAAATTGTTCTTTTGAAAATGTGTGTGGGTGGCCTGTTTTCAATTTCAAATCTCGGCACTTAAGCAGGAAGTATGATTTATAACTTTGACATTTCAGACCTCCAATATTCCTTTAATTAGATTGTGCTCTTTTTAGATTGTAGCCTTCTTGCTTTCATTTTCTTTTAAATAAGCACCTTTTTTGTCATATCAAGATACTGAATGGATTGGGGGAAAAAAAGCTTGTTTTAGCAATGCCTCTTGCTGGGAAGAATACACTCATCAAAGACTGTTCTGAAACAGCTTGAAAGGCTGTAAATCCAGACCACATAGCTTTTTTTAACTGTGCACACAGGGGAAGTAAGATAATCATTGTACTAGGCATAGTCTGTTTAAATCCGCTTTTTAAAAAAGACTTTAGTCCAGAAAAAATGCAGCATTTCAGACACATGCACCTACAGTAGTATTTATTAACTCCAGTACATCTTTCTTTGCACCAAACAGGCATAACCACATACGATGACTGAAATTAAATTATCTACATGTTATCAATTCATTTACTGTATATCAATTGAATTACTCTAATCTCTTCTCAGTGTTTCAAAATTCCTCATGTTTGTCTTTGATTCAACTCCCTGTATTAATAGCTATAATCTCTTGAAAGTATATGATGCTGGTCCTTAAAAGTCTGACACATGCATGTTATTCAAAACATGGTCACTGGGCAAAAGTCACTTCAAGATTTGACAGCAAACTGTTTGCAAAAATGTTTGAACTGGGTAGCTTAACAGCCTACTGTAAATATCCCAATGTGTGAATTATGGTTTTGCAAGGCAAGCAGGAGCAACTACAATATACCCAATGAGAAATATTATGAGGTTCTGTATGCACTGTAGACATCTTGTTAAAGAAGATAAAGTAACGGAAAACGTATTGGCCTTAACAAAAGGGGAGCGTTAATATACTGGTGCACCATGTCTTCTATTCAGTGTAGGATCCAAAACAAACCTGTTTCCACAGCTTTAAATTTTAATAAATGCACAGGAGCTCCAGATCATGGCTGATTTACACTTCTGTACTATGCCTTTTTTTGTCTTCTATCAGTTATTTTTAACAGGTGGCCCATGTACCTGGTTCCTCACCACCATGCCATCGCTGTGGTGATGAAGACATGAAAGCGGTTCATCCACTTTATTACAGCAGTTCTGAATGCCTCCTAAATCAAATGTATCCAGGTTCTAATAATGGAGCAATTCGCAATATCTTCACAAAATCGGCCTTGTAGGCTCAGCATGATTACATATCGGCTGCCGTAGTAGAATTTAAGGACTCCCCTTCCCAGGTATCATGAGCAGTTAGGATCTATTGTACAAGTGTGTGATAGTTCAGGTGCGTCAGCATGCGTGGGAGGCAAAGGAACAAGTAAAGGTTTATTCCATGCTGAAAAGAGAAGAAAGGAGACTCAACATTTCGGCTGTGGAGCCTTCTTCAGGTGTGAGAAAGACAGGGCAGTAAGCAAAGGTAATATGGCATAGGAGGATAAAAGTGAAAGAATGGTTATCAAAACCATTCCATGAGAATTACGAATGGTGAACTTCCTTGTAGGTTTCACTCAAAAAAATTAGATGGAGCTTCTGATTTTTTTTTTTTTCACCGTGGTGTTGAGCGGGACAGCTTATTAAGATTAACTGAATTATGGCGAATGCATGTAGGAGAGGGGAAGGGGTGTGTGATATGTTCACAGGTAACAATCTTCTATGTCACTTCTCCAGTTGAAGCTGTTTATACTGTGTGGCCTCTGGTGGCACATAATGTTAATCTGAATGTACTGCATGAACCACACTGGAGAGCACAGTCAGAAGACTTTGTGAACCTGTTTTCACTAAACATGACTAACCGTAATGGAAGCTTTCAAAATGCCAAGAAGATATTGACATAGTGTGGAAAATAGCAAAGGAGAGCTGTCTCACTATTTGGCATTTTTCAGTAAATCAGGGGTTTCTTAATGATGTATTGAAATGACACAGCAAGCATAGTTCTGAAATCAACATATATATATATAGCAGGCAAAGAGGACCTGGATGTATATTGGACCAGTTCAGGCACCCAGTAAATCCAGTGCTTTGTTTTGTTTTATGGGCAATATGTAAACACCATACAAGAGCTCTGGCTGTTTCAGATGTCTTTGTTTCAATAATTAAGTGTAAAACTGATGGTCATGATGCTGAAGGAGCACTGTAATGTCTGTCATTACAAGAAGTCATTATTGCATTACTGCCTTTCATATACAGTACTGTACTTGCTGTTTTTTCTTTTGGCTTCAGTAGTTTTCCAGCTATTTATACAAGCAATTTGCCTTTTTGCTGTTTGGGGCTATACAGACCCAGTTTTCTCTCACACATGAAATTCCACAGCATGTGTTGTAGCCCCTTCAGTTTCAGGAATGGTTCAGGCCTTTAAGAATGAAATAATACCTTTCAAATCCTGGAAATGAACTTTGTTTTGAGGATTTTATTAGACCCCGCACTGGTATAAAAAATGCCACTTCTTCCATTTTGTAGTTGATGTTCAAAAACGTTCCATTTGGTGGCAAGTCTGTAGGCACCAGCTGTTGAAATTAGCTGTGTTATTGTGGTACTGTATCTTTTAAGGCCTGGCTGACAACTTGCTTTAATGGAGCTTCTATATAGGCGGCGTGAAGCTGCCGTGGTTAACATTCCTGCCACAGATTGGCGGGACCCTGGATTCAATTCTGTACCTCGGGTACTCTCTGCATGGAGTTTGTACAGTATGTTCTCTCCTTGATTGGGTAAGTTTTCACCAGGTGTTCCCACAGTCCAAACACATACTGGCAAGTTAATTGGTGTGTGTGCATGCCCTGTAATGGACTGGCATTCAATTCAGTTTATTTTTATATACTGTAGCGCTTTTCACAACAAGGTTGCCCCAAGGCGCTTAACATTGCAAGTGACCATACATCTTGTCAATACAGAACTGAAGACCAGAAGATAACGGAGGAGAGGAACCAAAAACTCCTTAGTAAGAAGAAAAACAAACCTCTAGGGGTCAACTGGTTGCCCAACCCCTTTGGGCATGCCAATATGCCAATTAATATTATATAATTAAAAAAATGGAAATAAATGAATGTGGTTATTAATCCATCCATCCATCATGTCTTCTGTGTGTTAGTACTCCATGCAGATCTCTGTAGACCTGTAAATTCCTC